AGTTACTGGAAGCAGATTGGTTATTTCTGTTTCCATATCTCCTATTTCCCTGAGGATTCCTTCTCCATTGGGAATTGCCTTGGTTTTTATTAACCCAGGGGCGTTTATTCCCATTGGCATTGGATTTTTCGGAGTTATTAGAGGAATTTGCAGAATTGCTTCCGGCGTTTTCCTGTTTCTGAGGTTTTGGAGATTTCAAAACCTCGGAATAGGTCCTCTTTTTCTGTTGGGTTTCTAAACCTAACTGAGTTTTAGTCTCTGACACCATTTTATCACCAGGTTTCTTAACCTTTAGCTGATTTTCGTCATGTGCATGGTGTATAGTGTACAACTTCATGCACTGACTGACTAGCCATTCTAATGGTAACTTACAATCATAATCTCTTGCGAGATTCATTTGTATGTTTACCGGCATGGCATGAAAATACAGATCTTTAAAGTCTGTGCTTTCATACCTGGGTTTTCTTTGGGCCACGGAGTATGCATTTTAAGAATTATTAAAAATTCTCTGGGGCTTTGATCTGGACGGCACTTTAAATTATAAAGCGCCTTCTTAGCAGAGGCAATGGTTTTATACTTACCATATTCCATGATTATTTCATATTTCATCTTGGACCAAGACATTAACTGTATAGCTTGAAGACTTTCTAGATAAACACGGCACATTGAATCAAAGGTCCATGTAATGAACCATTTCTTATGAATGTCATCATACATGCCCAATGAATTCATTGCTTTATCATAATTTTCCAGATGTTCAGATATGTTTCCTGAACCTCTAGAAAATTGTGGGACAGTCTCTCTAAGGAATTTGATGACCTTTGGTGTTTCATAAACAGGCGTCGTTGATTTAGGACCTCTGTTTCTGTGTTTAGGTAAACGTCTATGCGATCTGTCTGCTGAAGAGGAATTAGACCCGTACAACAATGCAGATGGCATATCAGTTACATGGCCTTCAGAGTGGACAGTGCAATCACTTTCACTCCCATCACTCTGAGCTTCTTGTTCACTGTCACAATTCTGATCTGCATCAGAATCCTGCCAGTGTACAGAACCATGTCTGTTTTCATTCCTATCATCTTGAATTGGACTCTCCCTCTCAAGTTTGGCCAAGACAGCTTTTTCAAACTGTTCTGCCCAAGATTGCCAAGATGGCTTGGTAATGTCATGAGATGGGGAATCTTGTTCCATAGGTGATTTTTTAGAATTACTCACATCTTTTCTTACAGACTGTTTTATGAAAACCTGGTTTGGTGTGGGAAAATCATAATAAGGAGGGGATTTACAGATAGTCTTTTCTTGCATTTTTGTGCAACTTTTTGGCACAGAATGATGACTACTAACCTCACTGTCTAATTTCTGACTCTCCTTTTCATACTCATCCAATTGCATTTTAAGCTGATTTATTTCCTGTGCATATTTATCCATCAAAGCTTCCATTTCTTTTTCATGATCAGCCTGGCGAGTTTTATGCTCAGCAAGTAAATCTTGGTATTTCCCATTTTGAATGCCCAAATCGTCACTGTACGTGTCCAATTTGGCATTCAGTGACTTGTTTTCATCACACACTTTAAGAAGTGCTGTCATAAAGAAAGGCCAAGAGTGTATTATGAACGCCATTTTCCTTTCTATGTTCTTTTGTTCAGCAATTTCTTTAAGATATATGATGATGTGTTCATCAGTTAGAATGGTGTGTTTAGCTTCCCATTCTATGCTTTTCAACCAAACTTCATAGGTTGCATCATTTTTCATATGTTTATGAATATGAACTAGAGCATGTTTTCTTAGGTCTTCAATTATTTCAGTATTATCTGTTACAGATTTATCACTGCCACTGGCCATTTTTATTTTTATTTTATTGATTAATCTCAATACAAAACTCTTTTCTATATTAAGATTAAATTGCATGAATTACACCAATATTATTATTATATATGAAATACAATTTCAACTTAAACAATCTCAGCAGTGCCTCCAATATGTGGGGATATTTATGGGATAATAATAGTAACAGTGAGAATTGCCCACTATTTCAATTCTCAGATCCCAAAGAACGTTTATCGTGTTAAGTGGAAAGTATTTCATATAAATAATCACAATGTATAAAAATAGATTTTTATTTATATGACAAATTAATAATAATAATATTATATGTAACATGCATGACAATAATCAATGAATATTCAGTATAAAACGATATGCAATACAAAGACATGGGTATTACGTTTCAATGGCTAAAACGCATTTCCTGTCAAGAATTCTGACGATTTATGAGGTATCTTTAACACAGGCTGAAAGTGAAACTTTTCACACAGAGAACAGAATTCCTCAGAGTGCAGCGTAAGGTCGTAAAGTTTAGCAGACAGTTAGAATAACCCTTTCAATGCTGGCTAGATCTCCTAGGTTGTTAAGATCTATTCTTATGTAATTTTTAATAAAATAACATTTAAACCAGTTTAAATTCATTTTCTTAAACCAATCCAATAAGAGGATCTACATATTATATAAGCAGATTTTTAATTTGTCTAAAAGATATCTATCTTAATTTAGAGCAAATCAATACACCTGGATAAAAACAGCGGTATGCTAACACGTGATAATATCACATCAATATATAATTATTCTTAATTCCACCTGCAGAATGGAATGTTTATAACTATATATTCTTAGTTAACTAAGATTTCTTAATATGGAAATCTGACCGTGCTTTATCCAGTCATATATAATGCTATTAATACATTTTAATTAATTTAATTTAATTAAATGAAACCAGTATAATTACCAGTTGAGTAGATATTTCATCCGATTGGTAGCCTCAGGAACTTATTTGGATGTCTCTCTCTGCATGGAGGTTGGAGTCCCCAAACTTCCAATTCCTCTCTCCTCTTTTTCTTTGCATCTCTTGCATCTGCCTCCTTCGTATTGTCTCTATCTTCCCTTTGTCTTAACTTTTAAAGGGCCAGACTCTCTGTACGTCATCAGTTGATAACCCAATAGAAGCACTAGAGGTGTGGTTATCTTCCAGATCGCAAATTAGTTATTTGGTCTGTAGAGGGCAGTCTTGTCCCACTAAACATACCTATCCAGGAAAGAGTTAACTTTTCCTGGTGGCTATTTTGACGTCATTTTGCGTTATCTTTATAGCGCCATAATTTAAAATTTCAAAGGGTTTCTTAAATTTTGTCCAGACTTAGCGTCTGCAATTCCTGCCATAATTTCTGATATGACAGATCATGAACTAAGTTTACCCTTTTCCATACAATGGTACCTTATATATATAGACAGTTAAATATTAAATTATTTAATCTTCTCTGTCACAATTGTCTGGGTTTAGATTTGATTATATTCCATTAGCATTTTAGACAGTCTATCCAACCCCCTTCCTTATCACTTGTTTGTATATACTATGCATTCCTCAGATCTGGGAAAGTGGTTAGCTTACAGATAGAAATATAGTGTCTTTTTGTTAACTTGAAATAACAAAATGGAGTCTGGTCTGTTCAGAGTGACTCAGAATATACACTTTTAGTTTCTATCATAGCACAAAATGTCTGCCGATATAAATACCCTGACAACGTAATAAACTGAGGGCTGAATGCCCACGCCCCACCGTACCAGACGAGGTCTGTAAGACACCCCAAGTCGATCCCAAGATCATACAATTTTTAAGCAAGACGGGTTGGAAACCTAAGAAAGGTCTAGACTTTTCGCTTTATAATTGTCAAGACAAAGTCTTGGATATCTTAGGTCCAGCGACCAAAATTTTCGAAGCCGTGGAGGAATCCTTGGCACAAGATGACGCCTTAGATCGCC